AGTGGACATGAATCTTGTGCCTGCTGAAAAGTAGAGCCTACCTGTACAGGGTTCCACTCCAACAGCTGATATAGTGTGTCCACGCTTGACTGCTTCAAGGCTCAAAGAGCAAGAGGATAAGACTCTGCGCATAAAAGACACTAGCGGTCTGCACCTCTACCGTGTACGCCCTAGTCACTCTTTCACCCCCCGGCCCCCACCCCAACCACCGAACCAAAACGGAGGTAATTGGAGCTCGAGGCGTAGTTCAATCTTCTACATCTTCTTGAAGAGATACCTTTTCGGTCCTGGATGGTTGGATCAAGGTGGGAAAAATGAGGACAATCTGAAGACCAGCAACTTCCTTGCACGGTCTCCGTTGGACTCCTCTACTCCGACTCCTACTCTAATCCATGGATCTTCATTTTGCACACCCCTTATGCAGGTCCCCCTTACTTAGTAGCTACCTTGGCTCACATCTCCAAAAGTACAGTACTTTTAGGCCCACGAACACCACCAAAGCACCTGACTCAGCTTTTAGTTGCTGACCCAGACTCGCCGTGAAACGCCCGTTTTTGGAAGTGGGCCGGGTGCCTTCAGAGATGGGCCGGGTGCCTTCAGAGATCCTTCAATTGCCAGGCCATACTCCGTTGTAGGGCCACACTTTGTTTTGTCGAAAAAACTTTGCGGGAGGCGGGAGGCCATCTTGTCTCATTAGGTATTAAGGCAGAAAGCCCTGGAAATCCCCGAGAAAAAACGGATCCAAATCACTCAAAGTCCGGAAAAGGAATCAACAACAAGTCAACCCAAAACAACATGACAAGTGAAACAAGAAGATTGCTTACAACACATTCGGAAAGCAACACTAGAGAGGAATCCACGAATCCACTGGTATGACATCCAAATAGAACCAAACACAATGCTAACATAATACAAGTAACATCCTTCCATCATCTGTCCATCCCCCTGCAGGAACCGCTCTCAACGTGACTGTGATCGATCATCGACCGGTCTCCGTGAGTGTGTGCTTCGCGGAGCCCACCGAGCGGCGCTGGAGGGTCCGTCGGGAAAGGCGTTCACATGCACCACGGGCAAAAGCTCGGGACCTGCCCGGAGCGGTTCGGAGCGGCCGTGCCATGGAACCCCCACTTCTGCGGGGAAGGGAACGAAATAGATTCTGCCGCTGGTGTCGCAATGGTGAAGCATTTGCGCGCCTGTGTCTGGGAGTGCATTTTGTTGCATTGCATGCGAAAGCTAATTATGCCATGCTATGAATTTAGCATTACATGCACCTGCCCTCGATTTCCGAACTCGTCTCCCATATCTGCTATCACATCAAATTCAGCAACAACACGGCTAGAAAAATCCACAAATCCACAAACCAACTAGTAACTGGTCAACAGTTTTTTCCGAGGGGTGGCTCTGGGCAAAATTAGCTGCCAGAGCAGAACATAGGCCTCTAGGATAGGCCTTCAACACACTGGTGCAATCCGGACCTTTGCCACTTGATGCCGTTTTCGGTAAATTGTGCGTTCGCATGTCGGCCAGGATTTGCTCAGATCTCAAAGTGGCATTGATAAGTAGAAGATCGGTCGGCTTAGGTGATGGGGTGCCGTAGTACCCGGATACGCACCGACTCGACACCCAACAAATCGGAGTACAAACCGCCTCAAGCCAACAGAGGTTGAAGAACCCGAACTAGGCTATCCCAGTTCGGTACCCTCACTTAACCTCTATTGGAATGCAGCCTCCAAATTGAGTAAACGGATTATCACTATCTTCCGCCGGATGCTCCAGCGCCTTCCCAGAGACGAAAGCAACAACAGCCAGCCAGGTTTGAAAACTATCCCGAGGAGTCTGTTTCCAAAACTTGCTTGGGTGTCTTCCGTTCTTCCCTCTTCGAGAGAAAACATAAGCCGCTTAGCTTTTGGAGAGAGCTAACAACCCTCGGCCCTGCTTGGCCGTTGTCTAATTCTGTTCCCCTCTCTCTCTCTCTCTCTCCATCGCCCTCTCCGGGAGATTAGCCTTTGGCTAAGGCGAGCAAAAAAGGCCCAAAGCCCTCGATGTGAGCGTCAGCGAGCAAGTGTCGACACAAGCCGCTTCATCTCCCCACACCTTCCACAACAATCCGTCTACAGGAAAAGGGAGGAAAAACTAACGGGAGGTCAGAAAGAAGAGCTCGGGCGGCATTGGTACCAGAATCAGCTTGAAACAGTAGAACTAATTCGGAGATGAAAGGTAGAAGGCCACACCCAAGTGGTATGCTATGCTCAAAGAACCCCCTGGAAACCGAGAGTGTCTCCACCCTTGTCGATCAAGCTCAAGACGATGAAAGTAGGTTGGGTCAGGGACCTCAACCACAAAGAGCTGCTGTCCATGGTACGAGCCCTGTAAGCATCGTTTTTCCCAAAGTGCTCACCAAACGACAGTGCAACGACGTTGTTGTCTGAGTGGCGCACAAACAGACATGTGGAGATGCTGGAGCCAGTCGTGCTCCCATGCTTGCCACTAGGAACGATCACGGGCACTTTCCACGTCAATGTGTTTGTGCGCAAGGTATCGAAGAACACTCCGATGACACTTTTGTATGTCACTCTCATGGTACACTCTCGTAGGACACTCTAGGCGAGCATTCTTGTGGGACACTCTTGTGGGCCGTGGGGCACTCTTGTCGGACACTCTTGTGGGGCACTCTTGCGCAACACTCTTGTAGGACTCTCTTGTGGGACACTCTTATGTGACACTCTTGTAGGACATTGTAGGACTCTCTTGTGGGACACTCTTATGTGACACTCTTGTAGGACACTCTTGCGGAACGCACTCTTGTGGGATACCCTTGTAGGAAACTCTTGTAGGACGCTCTTATCGGACACTCTTGTGGAACACTCTCGTGGGACAGCGCCCTACCGCGAACGGTTGCGGTCGGCTACGGACGGTTGACAACGGTTGCTGTCGCTCAAACAACGAGTTGCGAACAAGGCCCTACCCCCAGACGCCCAGAGTTAAACGAGAACCCTTCACTACGCATTCGGGAACAAAGCCTGGGTGACTTAATGTGATGATTTTTCAAATGACGTACGTGGAGTACCTGGACCATCCTAGGCTAAGACTGTCCTGGCTCGACATCTCTAAGAAGTGGGCTAGGTACTCCAGCCAGGACACCCAGGTCTGGAATGATCCAGGTATACATATATATGATACGTACCTTCACGTAGGTCCTTTGAGATAAATATCACATGTATAAATCTACCTCATCGGGCTGTGTTTCTTCCAGGCGCAGGTCGACCATTATTTTAATAGGCTTTACCGAATCAACTAAGGATTTTTCATTTCAAAAACAAGGTCAACCATTTTTATAATGGTCTTGGAAGTCTAGGGGATATGCTAGTGGATGCACCGGACGTGGTGAAGAATGGAGCGATCGCTCCTCGGATGGATCCACGTCCGTGTTGGATGGATCCACAGATGGAGTGGTTGAACCTCGCCACCTCCGGACGAGGTCCTCGGACCAACCTCCGCACCTAGCTGCATGGAGCGTAAGCGAAAGGTCGCTCGAAGGGCAGCCACCTTTCAGTGCGGTGCGGGCTCGAACGAACGGGTCGGCGACCGAGACGGATCGGCGACCGAGACGTCTCTGCAGTGCGGGGCCGGAAGTGGTGACCGTGGGGCCGCTTGGGCTGCTTGGTGCTTGGTTGTTGAAACTCGATCAGCTACTGGTCAGCGGGTTTTACCATTTCCAACCATTTCAAGGAAATAGGTTCAATCCCAGAGTCAACTGAGCAAATATTCTCAAACAGCTGGAGTGAACGCAAGTCTCAACAAACCCGACTGTTTAAAATATATAAAATAGATTGCTATAGAAAATGATTTTGCCCGCCCTGTTGAACTTGCATAATTTATTCTGGCTCCGGAGCTCCCGAGCTCCCTCCGAAGCAGCTACCCTCCCCAAGCAACATGGAAGTGGAACATGGTTTTGGAACATCCAAGAACTCATTTCCAGGAGTCACATGGAGTTGGGTGTGGTGTGACTCGTCCCATCCAGGGGCCATGGATCAGGACGACACCCCATGACGGGCCACCCCGACTTCCGCTCCGTTCGGAACCGGCACCCCCGTTGACTGTGACTGCTGGTGATTTGCCACTTCCTTTCTGACTCAAGGCGCGATGCGAGGTCTAAGCCAACCATCACCTGCTGGTGATTGGCCACTTCCGTGATTGTTGGAGGGAGAAGTCGCCTGTGATTAGGGCCACTTGACACTCTTGAGGACCGAAGCCGTCAAAACTGACCGAAGCCGGCAAAGCCACAACCGGAGTGCCGCCCAAGCCACCCCCAGCGGGGTCAAAAGCCACTCCGGAGTCAACAGGAGGATGAAGGCCTCAGTTCCAAAAAAAATGGATGTTAGCTACATGTATAGCTGCATCATCTACACCCAGGAAAAGGGCCCTTTCGGAAAATGGATCAAAAATAAACGCATTTGACACCCAACTGCTGGGATCCATCTGCCAACTGCTGGGATCCCCTCAAGGCATATCTTTCAACAGCAGCATCAGCATCTGTGCTGACATTCAAGGCTCCCAACTTGTGCCAATCTGAGGCCTTTGTGGTCACATGCTGATGAGTGTTGTTGGGCCCAGGCCCAGGTTGCTTTTTCAAGACGGGACGACCCTCCAGTCCCACATCCGAAGGCCAAACCCAAAATCACCCACCCCTGCACTCACCCCACCCACCCAAAAAGAAACGGAGGTCGTTGGAGGGACCCAAATCCCATGAGTTTCGTCTTCACCTCTTCACCACGCACACCTTCATGGTCAGGTGGAAGGGAGAGTGGCGGGCCCGCTCTAGGCCCTCCAGGCCGCAGCCAGTTTGGGTTTGGCATGGCATGGCCGGAAAGCATAGCAACAGATGAGGTACACTCCCTCAAACTAACATGGAAGTGGAGAATGGCCTCTTGGAAGACCATTTTCCCCTACAAACGGGGTGTTTTCCACTTCCAGGTTAGTTTTCGGGAGTGTATATGATCAAATCACCGGTCTAATATATCAAACTTTAAGGTCGTTTCGGGGCCCTCTCCAGCACACGCTCATCCCACACGCATCAGAAATGCCATCGGTTCCCTGCCTGGCACTGTGGCACCGACCACACGCCTTGCAGCAACAAAGACGTGGAGACCTGCCGCATGGAGGACTGGATGGTCAGTGGAATATGTGGTTGAGAAGTGAGGTTTTGTCCCAGCCATCAAGGATATATCGGGCTGCGACCACGAGCCAACCAGAGGTTGAAGAACCCTATGGAGTATCCCGTATCCCAGTTCGGTACCCCAGGTGATGAGTCCTATGTCACTCAACCTCTAGAGATGCCGCAAGACCATCTTCCGACAGTTTCTCCCGCTGTCGGTCTTCTGCGGTCACCGATCGTTGGCTGGTCGACGTCTTTCCAGTGAGCCTGTACTACAAGGTATGCCGACCTTCCACAAGGTATTCTACCAGCCGACACTGCATCCACAGCGTTGGAATCATTCCCAGATCCTTCTTGGAAAAACCACCAGAACCCCAAAGCCCAAACAGGATGGCAGGTTGGACTTTACAATCGGTCATTCTATACCAAGCCACACCTGGAACATCGATATACTCACCAACTTGTCACCAACCTTAAGAAAAGTAGAAAATAGGGTCCTATAACCCACTTGAATCCACCAACGTCCTCAACGGCCCCCCTCAACATACCCTGATACACTCCGCCACTCCCTGAAAGAATCACATGGATAGCATGGCCCCTTTCGTTCAGATGACCATGAGAAGACCAATCAGGCGGTCTCCGCGTCCCCGCCCCTTGCTCCGCCCTGGACCAGGCCCGGCATGCGCGCACCTCGATTTCCCCATAGCGGCGTCGAAGGGGGCTAAGTCGGAGCCTCGGCGCCCAACGATTCATTTCAGACCCAACAAAGGTAGCCAGTGACCTGAAAAGGGACCCGAATCACCTGGGGTACCGTCATGGGATAGTCTCCCAAAAACTAACATGGATCCTATATGGTAGAATAGCACCCTGAGTCGACTGTATTTCTCCACAAACCCATGGTTTTCAGGGTCCATGTTAGTTTTCAGCGGGGTATATGGGCAAATCCCACCATCTTGTATGAATAACAATCATGCATGATAACTTGACCTGAAACTGGTGGAAGCCGTAGCGGTTGACCTTAGCTTTTGACCCCTGGGCCATAGCATGCCTTGTCTCGTGCCTTTAGCTGATCAAAGTGGCCATGCGACATGGGCTGCAGAAACATCTGTAGACGATAGGGCCATGCTCACTGCACTGAACTGGGCAACCCGGTCACTGGCTCAGCAGGAGCAGGCTCAAAGCCGAGCACAACTCGCTGCATAGATTAAGCCCAGTCTACCGAAGACTGGGCCGCGAAAGGAGCCTATATTCCCCGTGGCCTGTTTTGCTTCAGTACCTAACCGTTTTGCTTCACACCAGGCCATGTATTTCTAGTCTATACTTACATGGGCAAGTTCATGCAGGTAGTCTTGCCCTACCCATGATATATCAAATGCCACAAACGCTACCTTACAAACGTTCGTGTACAGTAAAAATCACCAGGGGAGGCTTGCGACAACATCCCAAAGAAATACGTCATAGAGTCATTGCATTTCAATGGACCGTGGCCTCACAAATCAGGACTTCTGCTTGATTGCCCTCTCAATCCCTCTCATCACACGTAGACTACCACCTACAAACCACTGGTGTGTGACCCCTGGCGACCGACCGCGACCGGTGACGACGGCCCGCCCGATCCAATCTCGGCCCAGCCGCTGCTTCCAGAGCGCCTCCGACAACTTCCGCCCAAGCTCCTGGGAGCGCGGCGGATCTCAAACGACACCCAACCGGGTCTGGTCGGCCCATCCAACGGAGGTGGAAGAAAGTCTCCCTGTTCGACTCTCCCAGGAAGAAACTGCCCCAGAATGGTCGGGTCTCAGTTCAGGTCACTGGCGACCTCTCTTGGACGTTGTCCGCCTTCAGGCGCGCATGCGCACGCGCACGAACGGTGACGGCGGCCCACGCATGGTCCTTGGTGCCTAAAAAGTTGAGATGAACTGAGCAAAAACCTAAGGAGGGTCCAGTCGCACCTTAGCCTTGTGATCAGGGGTGGCCCCCGTGACCCTTCGTAGTTTCAGAACTACCAAGCTGGAACACTGGAACCTTCGCAACAAGGGCACCAACTTGCAAGAATGCCCCCCCCCCGACCTGGTTATGCCTACGAAAAATCTACGAAAGTATGCAGGGGTGAGTGGGGGGTTCATGGGGTGCGACTCATCAACAATCCACTGGATTCATGGTCTCTTTCATTGAACCGGCACTGGGATACGAAACAAATTGCTCCATCCACGGCGTGTCTCGACGTCTCCCAAGTGGAAAAACGTGGAGTTTCTGGGTTGTTTCACTGGTTCCGTTTGGACAACACGCTATAAACAGATCTAACAAGTAATTGTTGACCAGCATAGGTATGTAATTAGGTTTTCCCAACTGACTGCCACCTGCTGAGAAGGGACTTCCAAACACTTATACCTTATGCTTCTCAAAATGACTGGGGAGCAATTGTATGACCAAACTATTGGCAGTCTAGGATTCATTGGTACGAATGCAGGGGCCACATCCCGTCCCAAACAATCAATAAAGTTAGTATCGACCCCTGAAATCACCTAATGTAGATATAGTGGTTTCAGAAAATATAGATGGCACAATCCGCAAAAGGTCCTAAGGTGGTTAATATGGATCCAGTAAAAGACATCTTCCGGTTTGTGCCATCTACTCTGAAACCACTGCAAAAATTGCATACAGTAGATGGGTATAACACATGTTGATTCAGGGGGTGTTGCCCACTGTCACGGCACGTCCTTGTTTTGGGGCACCACGAACGTCGCACGGACGTCGCTCCCAGCCTGGTTGGATGGTGAAACCCCATGGGTGTTATATAACCATCCTACGTTGCGGCTGGGGCTGTCTCTCATGTAAGTCAAATACTGAAACTGACCCTCTTAAGAGTGTTTGGTGTCCTGTGGCAATAAACAAAATAAAGGTTAACACGTACAGTAACTTGCACTCTTGACTGTTGACTCACTGCTTCTTTAGCTTGATTCATGGGCCAAATGAGGGACACCAATCGTCTTCTTCTCCCAACAACCTGCTTCTTCACCGATACGATACGAGCGCTTCCGCGCACGTCCTCGCAAGAAGGATCGAGGCAAATGCACGCCTCAGGGACGAGGCAGCGGAGAAGCATCCCATGGTGCCAGGAGCACACATGCGCCTGGGGGTGGGGCAAGGGGGTCTGGAGACTTCATGAGGTGATTGATGTGCTTTTTTGGATCCCTACGCCCTATGTAATGTATATAGACCCCTAGACCCTATGCATAGATAGATCGAATGATAGAAGCAAGAATGTATTGGAAGCCCGTTCCATGGAATTCATGGGAACTAGAAAAGATTCACAAGGAACCTGATGGGACCTTTGCAAAACTGCCACAAAGCAGGGCATAGATCATACTTCTGTAGAGAAAGATGCTCAGGTCGGCTCCAGATCCAATTGATGTGTACTGTATATTCTATAGGTTGTATCATCGTTGATGTAAATGAATGACTCTCTATATATATATATATACATCCTTCACCAAATGCTTCGATTTGTCCCTTTTGATATGTGCATGGATGGATGACCCGATCATAACACATCCCCCACACCTTTGTGTTGAGAGGCAGTGAAGCTTAGCATTTTTGACACACAAACCTCAAAATGAAAAGTAGTTGGACCTGGAGTCTCAGTTCGTACCTCAGAAAATGGGTACAAGTATATAGACATGTAGTATTACCATGTCTTTATAGGGTCATGTCCTATCTTCTAGGGGTACTTGAAGTCGGGTCCAGGTAACTCATTTCTATATTGGGTTTCTTGCAGGTCCCACTTTTAGTTCCTTCGTGTGCCTTTGGAATCTCCTGGGCCCCGCCGCATGAAGAGCCGGCAACGTCTCTTCCTGTCAATATGGCGCGCGTCTCCCCTCCGCGGGGTGAGAAGCAAAGTTAACTGACCAACTGATTGAGCGATCTGACTGGTGCGAGCTGACAGGCTCATGGTGCATGAGCGGTTTCTCTATGGCGACTCTATGCTGCAGCTCAAACCGCGGTCAAGTCATGGGGGTGGTCATTCTGCTAGGACTCATCCTCAAAGAGCTTAATTAGTGCTTGCGTACAGCACTATGCAACAAATTAATGGACCAAGGACAATGCCTAATTCTTAGCACCAATTTTTAAGAGTGTTGGAAAGTTCCGTGTGGTCACACCAACCTTCCTTCTTTTGCCACCACAAAATGCCAAGATAAACATGTATAGAATGACTGACGGCGGCGCATACTGTTGGAAACCTTGCAAGTAGGAAAAAACATGCATCCCTCCAACCACCCCTTGCGTATTGCTGGAAGGGGATCGTACTTTTTCGAGTTGTATATAGATCTGATCACATCCGATCAACACACAGAGGCCCAACGCAGCAGGACCTTTTCCCACGCCAAAGGCTTCCTGGAAGCCGCCTCTTTGGGCGCGCGGACGGACGCTTCCTCTTTCATCTGGATCGTTCCACGTCTGCCATCGCGAAGACTGTGAAGTGCCGCTCCAAGTTTTCATCTAAAAGCAGGACCTAAGACTGTGAAGTGCCCGCACCGAAACCGGAAAAGAGGCTTCCGCTTTGTGGGACATGATGGAAAGTGCCAAACTGCTTGCAGGTTCCATTTTGCATCAGGTTTCCTCCAAATCAGCCCCATCATAGTCTCCCCCCAGAACCTGACCACATCCAACAGGAGGTTGTTTTTTTAATGCAATATTGAATTTATAATACATGTAATAATATATATATACCTGGGGCTTCAATTGTAACCTTTTTTTCTGCTACGAGAAATTTACAAACGTTTGATCCAATAAGTGCGACCTATAGGAAAAAACGCTCGACCTTAAAAAAAACGTTCGAAAGGGTTAGTTGGAGATGATGAACATCGTGCACATCACTGTCGACATCAACTTGGACACAATCAGTGTGCCAGGCGCTCAGCATCGCTCAGCATCTCATCTCATTTTTGCTGCACTCAAGATTTAGCAGTTAAACATCCTCTTGTACAACGAGGGCCGTTTCTACTTACCCAATATAGGGCAAGTTAATAACATTGGTTAAATTTAGTTTTATTATAGTTTTAAATTGATATTAACTTCGACATGTTGACGTAAGTTCTTAAGTTTTTGTAAGTCAACCTACAGTGGTTAGCAGGCTTAGTATGTTTGGATAAGTGTTCCTAAATGTTTGGTCTGTTTTTTCAAACCGGCGAACCTGACAACTTAGCAGAACTTAGCGGAACTTAGCTTTTACAGTCGCAAAATGAGAAGGAGAAGTTGCTGGTGCAATTTGTCAAGTGCGTGCGGAGTTTCTGTAAAAAGAATGAAACATGCTTCTTCAGTTTGCGAATGGGTGTTGAGTTGTTTTTCATTCTCTTCGCAATAGTCTTTGTTCATGACTCTCTGCAGTGTTCTTTGTTCAGCAGATCATTTGTATGTGTGGCCATGACTCTGACTCTGCGGCAGCTCGCGAAATACTGCGTGGTCCCAATTGAACAGGGGCAGGCGTTCAACTTATACTTTGTTCAAGATGTGCTTCCAGGCCTGCAGTGGTCTGACACAGATGATGCATTCCAACCAATTCAAAAAGCTCGGGACCTTCTTATCGCGCCACGGCATGAGCAGAGCACTTGGATAATTGCATACGAGAGCTACTATTTTCAGGTGAAGGATCAGCTGCACGTGCAGAAAGATAATGTTGTGGCCATGCACGTTTGGAATGAGTATGACCAGTGTGAAGAGGTTTTGTTGTTTACGTCGGAGCCTGCCGAGAAGTAGTGGGTTAATCCATGTTTGAGCGGCTTGGTGGGCCGCTTGCAGGATGTTGATTTTTGCGTGTGAAAAAGAGTTTGCAAGTGTTCGTTTTCTTTTTTGCGCTGTTTGGTATAGCTGGGGCACGGTTTGTAGAGGCTTTCAGGGCCGTTCTGTGGGCCGCCTATAGTTGATCTCTGGAGTGACCAGGAAGTTTTTGAGCTTTGGGATATGATGGCCCGAGACACGCCCACAATGAAAAAAAAGGACAAAGAAAAATTCGAGAAGCTTGCTGGCTTCAATTGGAATCCAAATGCTTTGTTCGCTCACGCTGAGGCCAGGGAACTTTTGAAACCAAGTGCCGTGCTTTTTGATCCAATGCATATTTTCTGGGCATCAGGTGTGGCAGCTTGGGAGGTTGTCAACTTGATGTCAGTACTTGCGACCAAGTGCAATTTTACTTGTGAAGATCTAGCCGGAAAAATTCAGGGCACCCCTTGGTGTAGTAGTACGCGAAAAGGGCAGTCCTGGCGAAAGAATTTGGCTGATGCACAAAAGTTCTCTGGTGATGCTTACCGTGGCTCAGCCAGTGATTTGAGAATGCTCATTCCTTTGATGCTTTATCACATCATGGAGTCAATCGACGACACTGAGCCTGTTCAGGCTGAGCTTCAATCCTTTTATGCCCTGGTTAAGCTTCTGGAGATTTTGGCCAGCTTTCAATGTGGGATCTCGAAAGTCAAATGCCAACAACTTTTGAAGCAAACCGAAACCTACTTGGAGCTTTACCTTTTGGCCTATGAAAACTGCAAGCCAAAGCACCATTACCAATTGCACCTGTGTGACATGATCTGGCGTACTCAACTTTGTGTGGACTGCTTCCCACAAGAGGCAAAACACAGGACGTATAAGTATCAACTTCAAAACAGGCTGGATGGGATGCTACATGATCCATTCCTGTTTTCAGAAGGCGTCTTGACGCGTCTTTTGAACAGCCACTGCCGCCTTTTCGACAAGCCGTGCTTGCCTGGTGACCTCACACCTCCAGTATCTGAAAGTCAGAAGCTTGTAGATGGTTCGATGGTGTCTGTGCTAGAAGGCGCCGCTTTAGATCTGGAAGCAGGCCGTGTCTACAAAGATGATTTTGTGATAAGCCCGCGTGGCAGCGGTTTGGTACGAGCTTGTTTGAGATTTCGCGATCGCGCTTGGGTGCACATCGACCTCTACGATAGAGTTTTTGGACCGTGGATTAGCAAGTTTTCCACCATTTTTCCTCATCGACCTCCATATATACCATGAAAATTTTCCCCTGTTCTATTAGCGGCCCCCAAAGCCGCAGCGGCCCTCAAAGCCGCAGCCGCCCTCAAAGCCGCCGTATGATTGTTGTTGTGAACAACATTCGTTGATCATCTTCGCACGCGTCTAAACAAAACCATGTATATTATAGACCATCATTTTTCGTCTTAAATAACTTAAGTAGCTTTGACGGTCGCTGCGGCTCTGGGGGCCGCAGCAACAAAACCTGTGTTTGAAGTGATTTCGGTTGAATGGTTTCATTTCTCTGTCCCACCGCCAAGGTTGAGAGCTGGGCTTGCAACAACGTGACCTTGTGGCGCCCAAAGGGCGACACGAAACTGGTTGCTGATGCGGATTTTTCCAGCGCTTGGCAAAAGCCTAGCCACTGGCACAAACGGCAGGACAACAGCATTCTCCTTCTCTGCTGACGACTCAATTAAAGAGAAAACTTGCCTGAAGTTATTTGAAGTTACAAACACTTACAAAAACTTACGGTTGCTCAGATTTTACTAAGTAAGATATGTTTTCATAACTTCCATCTAACTTCTTGTAAGTCTGATATCTACTTATAAGTTCGCTAAGTATAAACGGCCCTCGTTGTACCTCATGAGAATTCGAGTGAAACTTCTGGGCACTGTGGTCCAATCATGAGTCTTCCTCGTGATCCTGGCCACTTGGCCAATATAGTCCTCATCCTGCCATGCGGCAAAGCCTTATTTTGTAGAGTGTGGGCAGTCAGCTAGAACAGTGAACTACATAGCTAATGAACTTCCAAGCACCATAATTCGATGCCAAGACACACAGGGGATTTAGTGCATGTGAGGATGTATTGCATTGGCGATGAAACTCATGCCTCAAAGAGGGATCGCTGGGACCACTTGTTCCCTGTGCATCCTACATTTTGCACGCGTGTGTACCGAGCATATCCCCCGGTGTAAGTGCCAAGATGCGCAACATGCTCATGCATGTGCAGCTTAGGCTTGACGCGGAACAAGACCCACCGGCGATCCGTGGACATAGAGGCAAGGCATCCATACCCCTCCTCACGCACACAATATAGCAAAAAAACTATACCAGCGCAGTAGTGCAGCAAGCACATGTACTAGCTCTATTTAAATTTTAGAACTATCTTAGTCCCAGCATCTGTCAACCCCCATGCCATTGGAGCCACCCCTGCACCAATATGCGAAGGAATGAAAATGCCATGCTTGTACAATTCCCTGAACCATATGTTTCCACAGTCGGCCGTGTATTTGAGCACGTCGAAAAAGTCCCGATGACTCTGGTCCTAAGAGAGTGGAATCGAATTTGCATGGCCTGGACAAAGAAACACGGCAAGCTAACATGCAACTGGAACTCCAATGAATCAGGTTGGCATTGGCCGCAAACAAAGGAAAGCCACTTGTGAACCACAATGCAGTCATGCCCCTTTCCCGATAGCACTGGGTATTGTTGCAACCTAGGATATTCCCAATGGATCAACAACACTGGCCTCACATGCACATACACCTCACATGCATAGCTTCCATCACAGCTAGCTCTTGTTGCCAAGAAACGAAGTCACCTTTAGTGAACGAAGTGTGAAATCTTTCACCTGCGCATGTTGCTTAGCAAAGTAGCACCATTCAGTGAAATGGTCATGGGCTCGGTCAAGACGAGCTGGCATGGTGCCTGCGCCAAAAACACCGAGCCTGCACAGAGCGACGATGGCGCTTGCACAAAATCTTTTCCGGCCCCTATAGCCCAGGTATGAGCTAGATCAACTCGAGTCCTCATAGGACACTCTGCACCAGGAAGGTTTAGCAAAAGTGACCTGTTCCTTTTCCACGGTAACGGAGTATTGACAGGGTCCCAATTGTGAAGGCAGGACTTCTTCTCACCGAATGTCCACCAATCCTAGGCAAGAGATGCACTTATTCCAACATGAGGCCTTCCACTAAAAGCATGCACTTAACAATCGATGCTTTTTTGTACGCGTGTGCACGAAAAGTATAGTCAGGTGTCTGTTTCCGCGCACATGTGACACAATCTCTTGGAACGAAACCCACTGGCCAAATTCATAATCTTCCTCAAATAAGGCCAATCGCCTTTACAGCCCAGGTAGATGAATCGGATGGTGTGTCCTTTGACCTGGAGCCGGGGAGCCCAAGCGGAACATTGGTGATTGCGTCAAAGAAACGCACTATGGATCTAGCCTGGACACCATCGTAGAAGCAGTCTTTCAAATCATCTACCAAAAACCTGTTCATGTCATCCAGAGTTTCGTCTTTCGAGGTCATCAACTGGCTGGGCATGATGGATGCCAATAGTCTTGTAGTAAAGGAGTGCCTTAAGAGCAAAACACTTGAAACCAAACGCTTGTGGTAGGTACTATTGCAATCATATCAAATCGATTTGCTTAGCTAAGGTACCCTTTCATGTTGGTCTCGCCCAATCCTTCCTGGGGGATGATCATTTGGTAGGAGGTGATGAGGACAGGCCGCTTGG